AAACGTAATTGCGACTTTTCGTAATTCTGAGAAACTTTTATATAAATATAAACAATAAATTATATAAACTCTATATAACACAATAAGCAGAGAAATTGAAGTTGTAATGTGTAAATATGAGTAAAACTGTAAACTCAGAATTCAGAGGGGAGGAAAAAAAGTACAAAATGCAAGATGTAAATTTAGCATTCTGAAGGAAGACGTGAAAATGCGCAGTTACCCTTCTAAAAATGTGTTTATTTTTTTTCCATTGCGGAAATAGCCTGCCATAGTCTACTTTAAGAAACACCCAATACACAATATAGAAATATAATTACCTTTTCCCCTCCAGTTCACAAACGTACTGCAACATAGGTTTCCAATCTAAACTCCCCTCTTGATTTTTCAGCCATTTTTCAATTTCTCTACGATTGTTATTTGCAAAATCAGACAGCACAATCTCGTCGTAATGTTCGCACGCACTCAAGACGCTGTGGATAGATGGTCCACTGCCCACATCGATCAGCCGCTTGCCTTTATGTTCTCCTTCAAAACAAACATTTGTGTAAAACATTATTTCGGAAAAATAGAACATCTAGACCTAGCGATTCGATTGATAGGGATTGCTTACCCGCCGAGAAAACTCTGCTAAGGCATCTCAAAACGAAAGTAAGGAAATTCTTCTCGTCCGCGTGACCGCTAGGGCAGGAATAAAAATTCTTCACATAAGCTCGCGAGTCAAAATGCCCCTCATAGAACTCTCCCTCAGTGAAGGTCGTGAATTCACTCATAATTACAACAACGTATTGTATGTTACGTATATAACTTAAAATAAACAACGACTGCTGCAGATACTGTAAGAGCGAGCTAATACTGTCCTTGCTAACAGCGAAGGCGCAAATGTGGTTTCCAGTAGTGTTGGGTCGTTCTTGAACGAATCTTTAATGTGACTCGGGAAGAACGAGTCGTCTCGGGGAGTGATTCGTTCAGTCGCGCATGCGCAACATCCTATAGGTTCTGTACTGGAATTAGTCAAGTAGTTCACCTGGTTCGAGTCTTCGGGTTTGAGTCGTTCGTTCATCACGTGACAGCCCCATAAGCTTAACCAATGCAGTCTGAGCCGGAAAGAGACTTAATAATAATAACCAACTCTTTGTTAGCTTTGTTACAACATTTAGTGTTATGGAAAGTAACCATAATGACAGAAATTCACACATTTATAAAACTGTAAGAAGTAAAAAGCTACAATTTGAGACCAGAAACGCATCACCTAACTGTAAGAGTAAATAATAATTATAATAAGGATGATAATAATAACTATGCACCCCTTTGTAAGGAAGCTTGTAAATTAATTTCTCTAGCCAATGCTGTCACGTGACAAAAGAACGAACGATTCGAAAGACTGGAGAGATGAACTAATCAAATCTCTTTCCGGCTCAGACTGCATTGGTTAAGTGTATGGGGCTGTAATGCACCATTTAAGTTGGTTTGCCAACCGCCATTAAATTTAAAAGAAGAAGTCGTCCACCGTTGTCAGAGGCGTTCCAAGATGGCGCCGAGGAAAGTCGTGTTGTGAGTGTCGTTGTTTTCTTTTGTGTAAAATTTTAGCACTCGGTTACTCAATTTAATTCGTAGGTGCTGAAAGACTTTCTAATAAATGTTTTGCTAAATCGGATTTAAAAAAAAAAAGTTAAGTATCTACTTCCCAAGTGATTTGGTGACTATTGGTGAGAACTGGAAGTTTAGTCGAACTGAACGTGATCGTGGATGAGCCCATTTCTTGGAAAGAAAGATGAAGGCAAGTGTTGGAAATTCGAAGGAGAAGCTACAGAAACCCACGCTAATGGAAACTGAGGGGGAAAGGATTAAACGGATCCACGACTATGTGAGACATCCCACCGTCGAGCCTGGAAAACAGTCAGGAGAGACACCGGTGAACAGAACAGCGAAAAAAAAAGCAATAAGAGTGGAAATACCTGAAACAGTCTCTAACCCCACCCTTCTAGATGCAACATAATTGTTTCTTGAATTTAACTGGACAATATATAATGTCTGGCATGTTGACAGACTAAACAAACATATTTTAACCCCCAGGAATAGTTTTAAGACAGTTAAGTACACAAAGTATAGAAACAGAAAATTCAGTGATGAAAATTTACTTGAAATCCTGGGGAAAGAACTGACATGCAAGATGGTGTGGTAATGAACATCACAGCATCACTCACTAACATTTACAACCCACAACACATTCAACAATCAAAGCCACATACAAAGAAAGCAAATGACTAAAGTTTAATACTGGCTACTTTTTATAAATCAGGTTTTTAAACATTTTTTGCATTTCAAGTATTCATGGACACAAATCAAAGAAGTACCATTCAAAGTACATTATACAAGTGCTTCGTGCTGAAAGACTTTCTAATAAATGTTTTGCTAAATCGGATTTAAAAAAAAAAAGTTAAGTATCTACTTCCCAAGTGATTTGGTGACTATTGGTGAGAACTGGAAGTTTAGTCGAACTGAACGTGATCGTGGATGAGCCCATTGCTTGGAAAGAAAGATGAAGGCAAGTGTCAGAAATTCGAAGGAGAAGCTACAGAAACCCACGCTAATGGAAACTGTGGGGGAAAGGATTAAACGGATCCACGACTATGTGAGACATCCCACCGTCGAGCCTGGAAAACAGTCAGGAGAGACACCGGTGAACAGAACAGCGAAAAAAAAAGCAATAAGAGTGGAAATACCTGAAACAGTCTCTAACACCACCCTTCTAGATGCAACATAATTGTTTCTTGAATTTAACTGGACAATATATAATGTCTGGCATGTTGACAGACTAAACAAACATATTTTAACCCCCAGGAATAGTTTTAAGACAGTTAAGTACACAAAGTATAGAAACAGAAAATTCAGTGATGAAAATTTACTTGAAATCCTGGGGAAAGAACTGACATGCAAGATGGTGTGGTAATGAACATCACAGCATCACTCACTAACATTTACAACCCACAACACATTCAACAATCAAAGCCACATACAAAGAAAGCAAATGACTAAAGTTTAATACTGGCTACTTTTTATAAATCAGGTTTTTAAACATTTTTTGCATTTCAAGTATTCATGGACACAAATCAAAGAAGTACCATTCAAAGTACATTATACAAGTGCTTCTCACAAAACTGATCGGCTTTTTAAAATGCAAACTTGTGCATTAAAGAAAGCCACTAAATTGGCAACTGTATTAAATTTAGCAAATAATAATCAAAAAACTAATCCGTTTACATCGGTTCATAAATTCTTCATTGTCATGGAACTTGTGATATTTCATTACACAGACATCAAGTATGACAGAAAAATCAGGTGCCAACTATTTCTTTTCAAGTTCAGGTTAGATATTCAAACAGAAACCAGTTGCTGGAACTGAAAGGAAATACTTGAATCAAATTAATTTTATGTTTTAACATCATCGCTTCCTTGAGCTGCACAGTAATGAAACTAACATGCACTATTTCAGAGATTACATTACAGTGACTTGACCGAATAGAAGACAAAACAGTGCTCTACAATTGATAACAAAACAGTATGTTTGTTCAAATATAGTTACGCAGACCTCGTCAGTAATTGTTCAGATGTTGACTCAATACTGCTCAAGTGGCATCTTGTTTAATGGTCTCGCTTACAAGAGGCAGAAGCTATGCAGTAGTGCAACTTCTGTCAGCAGGGCCACAGTGTTTTGGACAGGTTAACTTGATTTCTACGAACAGTATTTTTGTCAACAAAATGGCAAATGTTTTCAACAGGCATATGAAATTGTAAAAGAGGAGAAAAAAAACCAATCACAACATTAAGTACATGAGATTGTACAGTTCCCTTGCTGTTACACATAACAGCATAATACATTATAAAGTGCACTAAAACTCTCCTGAATAGATTTGAGAAGCAACTAAATTGTACTAATAGTACATCTCACTCTTTCAAACTAAAACCATTATACACAGACACACATCTGTTGATGTCTCTGACCTTTAGTGCCATTTAAAAAAAATATATCAAATTTGACAATGACTGTTTTGCACGGCCAAGAGTTGCTTACTATCATTGACAATTCCATTAGAATGTACTGTACATGAAAAATACCAGAAACACCAAACCACAGCAGCTTCAGTGTTAAAGTAAGGAGCTGCTTCTAGAGAACAGTGTGTGGAAACTACAGCAATGAGGACATGAGAATTAATGATTTCATCATTACCAGATATGGTCAATAAAACTTCCTGCTACGTGGCCTGAAAGGTCTTAATTTATCATTTTGACTTTCAGTTGGAATGTCTTTTGCCAAGGCCACTACAGCACATCTTGATTTTGAAGGGGTAAGCCATGGACCCAATTACTTCATTTTCCATCTTCTGAAATGCAACAAGGTTCAAGTCTACTTCTGCCCTGCTTTAGTGAGAGAGAGAAAAAAAGAAAAGAAGGAATGTTAAAACAGCTAAAACTACATGTTTGCTCAACTGATGAGCAGAGACGTTTTCAGCATGCTCACAAATGTTTGAGATAGCGTGACACTGGATGAAGAGGAGACTGTGAAGAAGGGAAAACCAACACTAAATAGAAGTGACAGCAAAAGCAAGTTTGGGACAGACGGAGAGATTCTTAGAACAGGAACCTTTTTTACCACCAATTTCACCAAACTAAGCCATATGTTTACAGCCATCAGTAACAGTTCTCAATTTTTTATCAATTGGAGAGTGCTGTGGATTTTAGTTTTTCTGTGTAAATCCCATCACACATGAACAGGACCTGTTCCATAATTTCCTCCTTACAGACTCACATGAAATGCAATTCTACGCCATTCATTCACACTACTACAAGAAAACTAATGAGTGGTTGTTGTTGGAATACGGTACCTCGGGGAGAAGAATTGTTGAATAAATTATGTTATTATTATTGTTTTCTTTGTGCACAAAAGTATTCTCGCTGCTTTGTAAAATTACGATTGAACCCCTGATGTCACATGGACTATTTTACCGACCTAGTTCTGTAGAGGTTTGGATAATTCCGAGATTATCCTTTAGCCAACGCACAACAGCTCCTGCAATGGCAACTGAACCCTAGAAAAGAAAAACTCCAGTTGAGCAAGAGTGAAGAATTGGCTACTCTAAATCACAAAGTAATTATGAGAAATGAATAGGCTTTTCATGTTTGTGAGAGTGGAATGAAATAGCTGCCACATAAACAAAACATGTGCATTGCTTTGGTAAGAAATAATCTGCCAGGAACATAATAAATGTGATAATGTCAACATTCAACAACATTACCTCTAGTGCATAGCAGGCTGGCTTGTCACGCCCTAGTTTATATGCGACCGTTGTCAGGAGTCCATGGTCCGACATTACAGGCTTTAAGATATAAAAAAAAATCGAATGTAGATTAAATTTAAAAAAGGAAAATGTATTTTTGAAGCTTTAAGTATGTTGAATACCTTTGTTCCTACGTTTTTAAGCAGGAAACAACCAGTCCCATAACTGTAAATAAATAAAAACTTATCAAATGTACAAAATCACAACATCTTCATTTAGTCTAAGTGCGCATTTTTGCATGTTGACAAATTAGGCTATGAGGAACTGAGAAGACAAAACAAAATCATACGTATTTTTGGCCTGTCCGTCCTTGAAACACATCTGTCCCACCAGCGCAGCAGACTGGTCACCAAGACACTGTAAACAGATGTTAAGTCACTTTAAAGAACATCAGAAAGTATTTGCGAATTTCTGTATTATTTTTGAGGATCTGAAGACCCTCTACTTTATATGCATTATGATTTAATTGTCCAACTCAACAAAATAATTATATTTACACACAATTTAGGGAGAAAGACAGAAAGACAATGTAATCTTTCTAAAAAAATTATCTAATAATCTTACCCCTGATATGGGGACACCAGTTAAAGGGCCAGATTTCTGTAAGAAAAAAATTCATATTAAAAAGTAAAACATTAGGGGAAGAATTTAATATACAAATTAATGTAATAATTCACATGCATTATACAGCCCCCTGCTTAAAGCCAGAACTCAAACACTTGAGTCAGATTAATAATTATCAATTCTAATATATTATTTAGTGGACATGAGCATCTTTGGCAAATCATCTGCTGCTGTGTTGCAAGTATCTGCTCTAAACATACTCCTCAAAAAATAAGAATAATTGACTCCAAGCATGTTAAAAACTGTGAAAGCCGTTTCATTTTCATCACTGCAACTCAAGATGGTGTGGCTTCAGCCATAGTGAAAGAATAAAGAAAAAGGACCATAGCCAGAAAACTACATGAAAAAGTTCTAAACTCCAAGAGCTGTTGGAAAGGACAGGCAGTGCATTGGGTGACAAGCCAAAACACAATGAAAAACAATGACAAGATCACCATCCGGTACATTTCCAATAAGACCTTATCTCAGGAATATATCAAATGCACTTACAACAAAAATATGAAAAGCATGTTTGCTCCATATTGGAAATGCACCAACTTCTGTGATGACAACATGACAGCAGTTTTCCCAGACATGACAGCTAGAGATACTCACCAGATTAGAGCTGATTTTCTATCAGTCAGCCCAAAGAGATCACAGGACACAAAATATAATCATGATAAAGAGGGACACACTAAAATCTCCAAAGGGTTAAATGACTGCTCCACAGCTAAATTCAACTTTGGATGGAAAGATGTTATTGGAGTTGCAGATTGTGTATGTACGGTTAAAGAATAAAGAGTTAATGTTTGACAGACACTGCTCTGGAGCAAAGATCATTTCTCTCTTGTCAATTTATCACAACAGAATCCTACCAATGCATTATGTAACAGAAGTACAGAAAGAAATTCTCTCTTTGGGGTCAAACACTTACCATTAAACCATAAATCTCTGAAGAACTTCTCACTTTTGGCAGGATTTCCATTGGTATATCAAAATATCTGTTATACATGTAAGAAATATACGTTATGAATAAATCTTTAAAAACAGTACAGGCTGGAATACACTACACAACTTGCCCAGATTATTGCCTCGATTTGCAGTTTGGTCACCAGTCCGCATATTTTAGGCAGAGCTGACAGATTTTATAAAGAGGAGGAATAAAAATAAATATAAAATAACAGTGTAAGATGGGCACAGACTCTGATTTTTAGCATCAGAGGATGTTAACAAAATTATGATTTGGGCTGATTTTAGAACAATATTGCTTTCATTTGTCAGATGTCTCCTAGCAATGAGGTGCATGTTTCTGAGCGAGTTTGTTGTGTTTAAAATAACTTGAAAATCTGGTAGTGTGTGATAGTCTGTCATTCAGTGTATGATAGTCAGTTTTTCTCTTTAACCATTCACAAATTGTTAAGTGTGTAATGTGTAGTGTAGATTTTAAAAGTCATGCAGTGTATTCCAGTCTTAAAGGGATACTCCAAATCCAATATGAAAATCCTCTCATTATTTACTCACTATCATGTTGTTCCAAATGAATGAATTGAATGAATGAATGATGCATTTATATAGCGCTTTATTGTGTATTGCTGTACACCCAAAGCGCTTTACAATCATGTGTGGGGATCTCTCCTCAACCACCACCAGTGGTTACCAACAAACATGATGGACAAAATCTTCTGACTCAAATGGTGTGTAAGAAAAATATCATATTTCAAACGTTTTTAACCATTGCTTCCAGCCAACTGTCATACACAGGTTCAGGAGGACATTGTGAAGCGTGACATAAATGTATTTTTAAGCTGATGTGAGAAGTGGCACGAAAGCCATCACTTTTCAGTGGAATTTCACAACATGAAGACATTACGCTTCACAAACGTGCTGACATTTATGCCAAGCAAACCCAGGTGTGACAGCTGGTCAGAAGAAAAAAACTATTTTAAAACATTTTAAAAGTAGCATTTTTCTCTCACACATACCTATAGGTTTGTTTCAGAAGACACTGATTCATCAACGAGTCATATAGAAGAAAAAAGTAATTTACATCTAGGATGGCATGAGGGTGAGTAAACGGTGATGGAATAAAGCAATAAGCCCCAAGAAGCCATGTTTTACAGTGAATTTATCCGCTTTGCGTCGTGCCTAACAACGCCCCTTAGCGGTCATAAATTCACTGTAAACCACGGCTTCACAGGGCTTATTGCTTTTATAAAATGGTTATTCCATATATGCAGTAAGGTTTCACAAAATAAAACCGAGCAAATAATGTGTAATGATATTAATAAAAACAGTATTCTTCCACCAAACAATGTAGTTCCTCAGAAACAGTTGTGGTTGCAACAAAGTGGTTGTCAAGCAACAGACAAACGTAAACAAAGGTGTATGTTTGTAGAGTAATTTACAACAGCTTCGAACGTGGCTCAGCCAATCAGAATCAAGAACCAGAACTATCCGTTTTATAATTTGGAGTGGAGTATCCAACATTCTTTTTACCATTTGCATATGCAAATAAGTTTTGGGCCAGAAAAATTTATATAAAACGTTATGTATGCAAATTTGTACTTACTTGCAGAGCTCTGGATCCCAGTCCATTGTGTGAATATTGAAGAGCATTGTCCGGCTGGCATTGGTTACATCTGTGCAATGAACACCTCCCTTCTTCCCCCCCGTCAGGCACTGAAAGTTAGGGGTTATCACAGATTATTTAGACAAGTTAAAATATTTACATCATGATCAGTTCAACAATGTTCCTGGAGTCCCCTCAACACTGCACATTTCTCATGTCTTCTTTGTCTAACACATCCATTTCAGGTCTTAGAATCTCCTCTAATGAGCCGATGACCTGAATCCGGTATGCTTGATTAAGACGACATGCAAAATGTATTCAGAAATGTGATTGAGAACCATTAGAGCATCTGAATTAAATCCAAGACCAAGTGCTTGGGTTTATTTTGGAGTATCTGCAAGGATGAGTGTAATCATTAAGCAGTCTAAAAACCTTGGATGCACTAAAAACCTAAACCATGCACTGATTTCTTCTTTTACCATTAAACTTCAAAAACATATACACAAACACTATAGAGACGCAGAAGAGAAACCTCACTGCCACTGCTCTTACCCAGATAAGCCAGGAGTCCACTGTTCCAAACATGGCCCTGTGAGAGAGCACAGCTTCATGGACCTTTTCAACATTATCCATCAGCCAGCGTAACTTCACTGCGCTGAAGTATGTGCTGATGGGTAGGCCAGTCTTGTGCTGTATGAAGCAAGAGAAGTACAAATATTTATTCAGTTTTGCAAACTTTGTGTACAGTAACAGAAATCAAAAATAACCCGAGTACAGTTAGAAGTGGACTGATAACTGCAATGTCTCCTCGATGTTTTGATATATTTCTGTTTGAATAAAGAAATCAGGGTGGGGACAGGGCTAAAATATCCAGACTTCAGCCAAAACTTCCATTGTAATTTACATCTAGGATGGCATGAGGGTGAGTAAACGGTGATGGAATAAAGCAATAAGCCCCAAGAAGCCATGTTTTACAGTGAATTTATCCGCTTTGCGTCGTGCCTAACAACGCCCCTTAGCGGTCATAAATTCACTGTAAACCACGGCTTCACAGGGCTTATTGCTTTTATAAAATGGTTATTCCATATATGCAGTAAGGTTTCACAAAATAAAACCGAGCAAATAATGTGTAATGATATTAATAAAAACAGTATTCTTCCACCAAACAATGTAGTTCCTCAGAAACAGTTGTGGTTGCAACAAAGTGGTTGTCAAGCAACAGACAAACGTAAACAAAGGTGTATGTTTGTAGAGTAATTTACAACAGCTTCGAACGTGGCTCAGCCAATCAGAATCAAGAACCAGAACTATCCGTTTTATAATTTGGAGTGGAGTATCCAACATTCTTTTTACCATTTGCATATGCAAATAAGTTTTGGGCCAGAAAAATTTATATAAAACGTTATGTATGCAAATTTGTACTTACTTGCAGAGCTCTGGATCCCAGTCCATTGTGTGAATATTGAAGAGCATTGTCCGGCTGGCATTGGTTACATCTGTGCAATGAACACCTCCCTTCTTCCCCCCCGTCAGGCACTGAAAGTTAGGGGTTATCACAGATTATTTAGACAAGTTAAAATATTTACATCATGATCAGTTCAACAATGTTCCTGGAGTCCCCTCAACACTGCACATTTCTCATGTCTTCTTTGTCTAACACATCCATTTCAGGTCTTAGAATCTCCTCTAATGAGCCGATGACCTGAATCCGGTATGCTTGATTAAGACGACATGCAAAATGTATTCAGAAATGTGATTGAGAACCATTAGAGCATCTGAATTAAATCCAAGACCAAGTGCTTGGGTTTATTTTGGAGTATCTGCAAGGATGAGTGTAATCATTAAGCAGTCTAAAAACCTTGGATGCACTAAAAACCTAAACCATGCACTGATTTCTTCTTTTACCATTAAACTTCAAAAACATATACACAAACACTATAGAGACGCAGAAGAGAAACCTCACTGCCACTGCTCTTACCCAGATAAGCCAGGAGTCCACTGTTCCAAACATGGCCCTGTGAGAGAGCACAGCTTCATGGACCTTTTCAACATTATCCATCAGCCAGCGTAACTTCACTGCGCTGAAGTATGTGCTGATGGGTAGGCCAGTCTTGTGCTGTATGAAGCAAGAGAAGTACAAATATTTATTCAGTTTTGCAAACTTTGTGTACAGTAACAGAAATCAAAAATAACCCGAGTACAGTTAGAAGTGGACTGATAACTGCAATGTCTCCTCGATGTTTTGATATATTTCTGTTTGAATAAAGAAATCAGGGTGGGGACAGGGCTAAAATATCCAGACTTCAGCCAAAACTTCCATTTTCATTTCCTGGGGAAAAAAATCCTATCTGACATATTGAAAATTGTTTAACATAATATTGTGGATGTAACGGTTCAAGATCATTTCAGTATTTTTTCCAAGAAGACACTGGCACTCTCACCTTGAGATGGTTTTTGTTTTTGCCTGGAGTTTTGTTGATGAGCCTTTCTACTGTTGATTGGGTCCGCAGATCAAGCCAAACTAAACATCCAAACAAATCAAGTTATTTGGTTATTTAATTCTGGACTGTAAAGCACAAGATATGATTACTCCTATACAGGGTGGACTTGTGGCCCACCACACCTGTGGCCCACCACACCTGAACCCCCACACACCAGCTCATTGTGTGTAGAGCAATTTTTTTAACACCATTTACTAAAAATTTTTAATTGAAATAAAAAGCTTATTACCATGAATGACTGGCATACTCATTTAAAATTCTGTTTTTCACTTTTAAAGCACACATTAATAACTATTGTTGCCCAAGGTGCTGTACAGACAAAGTAAAAACAAATAAAACCAAGAACATACAAAGATAAATTCAAAATAAACACTAAAAATTCAATGACACCCCTCAATACCCAGTAGAACTAAAAGCCTGAGATAAATGAATTTTTAGCCGAGTTTTAAATGTAAATATAGTTGGAGCTGCTCTAACATACAGGGGTAAAGAATTCCACAGTCTAGGTGCACCTACCGAAAAGGGCCGATCACCCCTAAATTTTAATCTAGACCTAGGAACAGTTAGAAGCAGCTGATCAGAGGACCTAAGGGATCTAGTAGGCATGTGTCGTTTAAGAAGGTCTGCAAGGTAAGGAGGTGCCAAACCATTTAATGATTTAAAAACAAACAATAAAAGCTTGAATTCTATTTGGAAACGTACTGGCAGCCAATGAAGGGAAAATAGAACTGGTGTGATGTGTTCTCATTTGAGTGCCTGTCAGCATCCTAGCTGCTGCATTTTGGACTGCCTGCAAACGTGACAATGCTTTCTGGCTAACTCCTATATAAAGGGAATTACAATACTTAAGCCTTGAAAAAATAAAGGCATTGATGAATTTCTCAAGGTCTTTAAAAGAGAGAAATATCTTTACCTTAGCCAAAAGTCTCAAGTGGAAAAAGCTGGATTTAAAGACACCATTAATTTGCATATCAAATTTGAAGTCTTTATCAAATAAAACACCACCATTTTATTATACAAAGCCAAAGGGCCAAGGTTAACAGTCTCACTCGGCCCAAACCTAAGGGATCTAGTAGGCATGTGTCGTTTAAGAAGGTCTGCAAGGTAAGGAGGTGCCAAACCATTTAATGATTTAAAAACAAACAATAAAAGCTTGAATTCTATTTGGAAACGTACTGGCAGCCAATGAAGGGAAAATAGAACTGGTGTGATGTGTTCTCATTTGAGTGCCTGTCAGCATCCTAGCTGCTGCATTTTGGACTGCCTGCAAACGTGACAATGCTTTCTGGCTAACTCCTATATAAAGGGAATTACAATACTTAAGCCTTGAAAAAATAAAGGCATTGATGAATTTCTCAAGGTCTTTAAAAGAGAGAAATATCTTTACCTTAGCCAAAAGTCTCAAGTGGAAAAAGCTGGATTTAAAGACACCATTAATTTGCATATCAAATTTGAAGTCTTTATCAAATAAAACACCACCATTTTATTATACAAAGCCAAAGGGCCAAGGTTAACAGTCTCACTCGGCCCAAAATTTATTTTCTGTTGTTTTCATTTAGTTTTAAAAAATTTAAATTCATCCAGCTTTTTATATCATTTAAACATTCTAAAATAGGAGTTAGAACATTGTTATTTTGTTGTAATGGTAGATATATCTGCGTATCATCTGCATAACAGTAAAATGAGATTATGCTTCTTAAAAATAGACCCCAATGGGAGCATATATAAAGAAAAGTAATGGGGCAAGAATGGACCCTTGAGGGACACCACAGTTGAGAAGAGCTGAGGTAGATAAAAATTCACCAACATTACCTGCAAAGCTTCTATTTGATAAATACGACTTAAACCATTGAAGAGCCAGTCCTTGAATTCCTGCATATTGCTCAAGACGAGAAACCAAGATAGCGTGGTCAACAGTATCAAATGTCACACTAAGATCTAATAAAACTAGGATTGCAGAGGCTCCAGAGTCAACAGTTCATAAAAAGAAAACCCTTGAGTACTGAATTTTTCTCTAAAAAGGGCTGTAATTGAGTGAAAACCACTTTCTCCAACACTTTTGAAAAAAAAGGGAAGTTTCAAAATCTGTCTAAAATTTGATAAAAAAAAGAAAAAAAAACCCGTAAGGCTTGAATAGCTCTGATGCCAAATACTAGAATATAGAAACAACTTTACTGTACATTCGGATCACATTGCAAAAAAAAAAAAAAAAGTGATGTTCTTGATTAGTATTTCCTTCTTGTTTAGTTTGTGGAATGG